CACAAATTTGCTAGCACTTGCCCTCTCACTTTTGGTTAACGTTTCTGCGCTCTTTTGGGCCTCAGTCTTGTTTTGTCCATTTCTCCAATAATTGTACTGACAAGATCAGTTTTGATTGCATGTCAGTCATGGTTATAGAGGCAAAGACTTACCTATGGTCTTCTTCTTCCCACAGCGCACATCTCTTGCATGCTCATTGCGATTGTGTAGATTTCCTGTAAAATATCAACACTATCTTGTCTGACTTACTTAGGGTCTTTGTTTAGTCATGGTGAACAAAACAATGAAATATATAGCACCTGCAGTGTTTGTTGGACAGTCAAAAAGTGAACCGAAATGGTGCAGAGGTTAGATCATTTTCTTCTCAATAAAGATCAATAAGTTTGCAGCAACAAAAGTTGTGTTCAAAGACTTCTAGAAGTAAGCTGTACGCCGACTTCTAGGACCCTTCATGCATCTCATGTGATCTCATATTTATTTTCCTTAAAATTTTTTTTTTATGTTCATATTTCTGATCTTGGTAGGTAAACAGTTTCATTATATCATCTCTGTTTTACAGGATTGTTTATTTTTGTAAAAGTGACATAGATAGATGATATATTTCCATAATATACAAAATGTGCATATAAATATATGTGTATAAATTTCCAGCGAAACAGAACTGGGAAAACATATATTATGTGACCCTGTTTTAAGCTAAATCATTCCTTGTTCATTTTTGATGCAGACACTGTTCTGAACGTTTGTCAGCTTTGCTGATTTATATTTATGTACATTTTAGTGCAAAGTTTCTTAGATCAAAGATCATTTTTGTCATTACAAGAAACCAATAGTTTACCACCTCAAATGTGATTTTTAGTCTTATGTAATAGCATGGAAATAGTTGTAATAAATTGTTTTCTCTTTCACCTATGCTGTGTTTAATGTATACATAGTTCATCACATTAAAGAAAAATATAGAGAGAAAATCAACCAAGATGTTTTAAAGAGCAAAATGATTTATATAGAGTACAAGACCAAATAAAATAACAGTTCAAGCAATGATTACATGAATACACCCAATATATGTAGTATGTCATATGAATAAACATCTCTAAGTAGAATAAGACTGACAATTCAGTATATGTTTAATAATTAAAAGAACAACTTCAATTAAAAACCAATGAATGATTGAAATGCATTTTTCTTTTACTTCTGTACTGTATAAAACAAATGTGCCCACAATGTTTTATGTACCTTTTGTTTTCAATATCCCCTTTTATTATACTGACTGGCTGTTATCTATTTATCTTTATATGCTTTGAAAGCTGAAGAGAAGCATGCTCCAACTCAGACTTGCATCAAACTGATTCAAAAATACCTTACATCTAAAAAATGAATTAACAATCAAACTGCCTCTGTTCTTACTGATAAAGTGACAAATTGTTAGCATGGAAATACTGAACTAAAAAAAATCTCTGTCAATATCCCATCACTCATGTTTCAAAAGTACTGTGTACACACATTTTCCAAAAAAGTTTGTAGTTCAGAGGAAAAGGCTAACAAAATGTCAAATGCCTGCAGACATCACCGGCACATGTAAGTGGACTGCAGATCTTATTTGAGCCATTTGCTATCCAGGGGCCACTGGGCTATAGCGTATTACAATGTTAAATAATTTATCATTTTTTTTTTAACAAAATGCAATTTGTCTCACATCCCTTTTTTATTAGCCCAACTCTTAAAATGTGTCTCAGCTGCTGTAAAATGATGCAAAAACATAATGATTTTAAAATCAATTACGAATGAGTTTACAATCCATGACTTAAAAATAAGCGTGAAAATATGAATGTCTTACATACTAAGTACCTATACAATACATGACACAAAGTATAATTGCACAATAAAGATAAAATAAAAGTGTGCTTACTTTGAAAACTAGTGTAAGTTTGTGTCAACTGTCATGAAAGTCTTCAGAATTGTTCACTTTATTAATTTGATCCCTTTACATTTTTGTCCATTTAAATACTAAGTTCTAGTTACCAGCTGTTTAAAAGTTGCCTGTGACCTTAAAAGCACATATTAACATTGACAGAAAATGCAGTTGTAATATTGATAAGTAACCAAAGAATGCAGTTTTTCACACTATTTATGAGACACTATGGTTCTTAGATGAAAAAAGTTGCACTGTTTAGGAAAATAAAAGAAATCACCACATATATGAACCCATAATGTTTTTAATCTACACCAAACACTAGAGGATTTATCGTAATTGTTGTGAGACATGAGAGTCCCTGATACTGTTTTCACAAGGGTTTTTTGACAACAATTGTTGCACAACTGTGATGAATAAAAAAATCTTTCAAACCAAATTTTTTGACAAACACTTCTTGCAAAGAAGTTCCTTTTATAATACAGTTACTGCTGATAGCGCAGCACCTCATTAAAAAATAGAGTTAAGATGTAAAAAGAGTTTAAATAGTATAGCTATTCTCTACTTGCAATCTACTGTCACGTTTTTAGGCTGTCAGTCTGCCTCAGGAACTCTTCAGAAGTTAAACTGTCACAAATTCTATACAGAGGTGTCAGCTCTTCATGTCTGGGTAGCACCATTTTGTTATTAGCCACAAATCACTTGTTCTTGGAGTCGTAGGACAAACCTGGTGTCAGATGGAGATAAAATTTGACATTGAGAAAACAATTTGCTCAGAACTAGGACCCACCTACTAGTATCTACTAGTAAAATGACATAACTGAGAACAAAATTTAGAACTCCTGCTTTCATCAAAGAAAATAAATAAAATGTATTTATAACTTGCCTGCTGTCATTTTACTCAGTTTTAAATTGATGAACTTTTTGGGTTAACATACCCTTTTGTTCCAAATTTTTCAACTCTGCCGCTTCATTGCGTAATTTCAGGTGTAAGATCAGCTGCATTAAATCTTCTCTGCAAATGAAAACTATCAGAATTAAAACAGAATTTCAAGAAAAATAAAGAATATCCTCTTTTTATGTCTTATGTGGATAAAAGGATAGATAATTTTTTCTGGCAAATACTACTACTACTAGAAATAAAAATGTCAAAATGCTTGCAAAAATATCATTTGGCTAAAATAAATGAGAATTTTTTTCTATAATTTTCTGACTTTATTAAGAATTGTTGATCTTTTCATCTTTGTGGCTAGAACACATTTCATGTTCATGTGAGCCTTGTGTAAGATGCTTATAGTACTTTGAATATATTCAAGATATTTTTACTCAGTTACATTACCTGTGTTCTGGGTTTTGAATACCCATTCTCCCAAGTTTCATATCACTGAGTCTAATCAATGCTCTTCCTTAAAGAAAAAATAAAAGAAATAACACAAATCTAAAAGAAATGTGAACATGAAATGTGTGTGGAACTCAAATAAATTTGTCAAAACAGATTAATCAAGAGTACTATTTTCAATAAATTTTCCACTTTTGCATATTCAACACAAATGGACTTGAAAACTGGTTTATGTTAAATGCCTATTTTATATTTTTCTTTGTCAATGTAACAAAGTTTGTAAATGATACCTGATATTTCATGGTCCAAAAACAGCTGCCCATAAAGCTGATAATAATTGCCTCCATGTTTCCTCAACCATTTATTAACATCTGCTTTGCCCCAGAAATAAAGGGGCTTAGGACCCTTGCCTTTGGTGGATTTTTTGCTGGCAGGTTCCTTTTGTCTTGATTTTATGACTGTCTACAAAACGGCGTCAAGATAATTGCAATCATTAATGAATAAAAAAAACAAAAGATATACACATAATGAATTACAGTATGAAAACAAAACATTCGAATTATACAGACTTTAAGCCACTTGCAATCACATTACTCTAACAAGCATTAAACTCCTGTATTAAATCCAGTGAGGGTATTTCCCATGTGGCTATACATCCTTTAGAAAATAGTGATTACCTTGGATGAAGCAGTCACATTCTTCACATAGTGAGGCCTAGAGAGAACCGACTCTGTGGCCTCCATCTGGCTGAGCAGGTGGTTGTCAAGAACACATACTGACCCGGCCTAGCAGGAATTTCTGTGAAATTATTTTTAAGATAGGGTGACATGATGTACAGTGGCAAAGTACATGTACAGTGTACTAAGTTAAAAAGTTAAATTCAGCAAAATTAATTCATGGCTTGCATTTACACATGTGGACTAAGTAATCTGAAAGGTGGGCCTAAAGCTTTTGTTTCTCTATTTCATATGACTCATAAGAACGCAGTTAAATAAAACTGAATATATATACTCAGTACACTGTATATTATGCACAGGCAAATAAATATGTTAATTGCCTCAAGGACAAATCCAATGATGCATAAAATTGAAAAATAATCTGACTTTTGTTACTCTATCATCAAATTAAACTTCTATGGAATAATCAACTTGAACCATGTAAAACCCAAGATGTTCAGATGGTTAAATTGACACCAAAGCTCTTATATTATCTATATTATTATTATGAGGCAAATATAAATACTGAAAATTAAATATAAATTATAATAAAAAAAATCAACGTCATTGCCCCCCATCTTATATACCGTGTAATCAAAATTGTAATTGGACAGTAGTTAACAGAGCCTTTGTACGTATAATGATACTTAAAGTCCAAGAAATTTTTATCATAATCACAAAACTTACTCATTTATTACAGGTGCCATCCGTTGTTGATGTCAACTTCCTCTTGACCTAGATACGGAAGGAGATAATGCGAGACTTAGAAATGGGTCGAAATGATTCCGAAAATATTTTATCAAGTAGAAATACAATACATGGTTGTTGGTAATCGCTAACCCGCTCCTGACACTCTCTGACTATGACAATAATCAGAAATATGCGACACGTTTGCAATTTATCCATGGGTCTATGAACGAGAATGTAAGTAAGCTGCCATGTGACCAACAAGTCTCGACGTGCACTAGCGCCATTTTCGAAAGTGATAGAAACGAGATCACAGAGGCTATTTGTGCGAGGAATCTTACCATTCTAGCAGTTTGAAACACCAGCCTGTGAGTTGTCTGTGGTTTGATTTGGCAAAAGATCCTGAACTGATATTGAGCACAATGTCATAATAGGTGAGAGGCAAATGTTTGATTTTCATTGCCAGAAATCTTCGAACATTTATTTACTGAATCACCCTACAGCAAGGCTCGGGATGCTTTACATGACGAATACACCTCCACACTTTTTACTTCGTTTTATTTAATGGCATAGGTTGAGCCGGAGGGGTAATCTTTTGATCGTTGAAATATTATAAGCATAGCATTTACATTTCTACTTCTAGGGAGAAGGGTTTTGACAGAACCAAGATCAAGTCAAGATGGAGACTTTAACACCAGCATTTATTTCACACGGTCGTAGGTCCATTAGCACCCCCAATTCCACCTTTGCCTCCATCAACTTGAAGAGCACTTTGGAGAGGAACATCAGCAGCTCAAGTGTGTCTCTTTTATGTAATAACAGCACTGACGAAAACAGTCTCCCAGCAAAAAGTTCTAGTAGTGTCTTAAAAGGTGAGGGGAGACTCCAGATTTTCCCTGATATTTCTAATGACTAGGGCTTCGTTCACATGCAATGTCTATTTTCTAAATTCTATTTTCTATTCGCGGCATGTCTTATGATCACGGTCTGTGCCCTGAATATCCCGCGGCGTAATTACTGGCCAAGGCGAGCCAGTTACTATAAGTTACTGGCAGCGCGAGTATAGTAACTGGCTCGCGCTGCCAGTAATTACGCCGCGGGATATTCAGGGCACAGACCATGATCATAAGATACCGCAAATAGAAAATAGAATTTAGAAAATAGACATTGCATGTGAATGAAGCCTAGAACTGAAGTAACAGCCAAAAATTAGAAAAAAATTGAAATAAATAATGCATTGTCTAATTAGACAACTAATGCATTGTCTAGGAATAGCTTATGTTTCCAGAAAATGAAAATTTCAGAATTTGTGCCATTGACTTACTATATTTCCAATTTGTATAAATCCTAATTTATTTTTACTCCCTGTGCACAACCACCTGCATACAATGCACAAGATACATGTAAATAAAAAAATGCCAGAAATGGCCATGAATATCTAACACAATAATAATAATAGAGAGAAATTAAAATATATTTTCAGATGTTGTAGCATATGTTGAAGTCCGTACAAATTCAGATAACAGAAGCCAAGCTATAGGCAAGGAACTGGAAGCTTTAGGTGCCACAGTTGTCAAGAAGTTCACCAATGAAGTGACACATGTTATCTTCAAGGATGGCAAGAAAAGTACCAGAGACAGGGCAAAAAAGAAGGGCCTTCATTTAGTTACAGTCCTGTGGGTGGACAGGTTTGTTCAACTGACAGAAAATAGTAATGTTCTAGTAAATTTTGTACATGTGTTTAAATTTTTAATGGTTAATTAATCAAGAATGTTTTTACTGAAATGGAAACCTACTTTTTTTTAGAGTATTTTTAAATTTTGTTATCATTTAAAAATGTACATAGTTGTTAATTTTATGTTGATTGTTAACATTTATTTGTTTAATATTACACCAGGAAATTTATTTTTGATGTTGATTCTGTTTCCAGTTGCAAAAAACAACAGGTGAAGGTCCCTGAATCTCAGTATCCTGTGGCAGCAGAAGATAAAACACCCATTCTTATTGGCAGATATAGGGTAAGAATACAGTGTTCCAAAATTTACGGGGAAGTGTTGAGAAATTCTACAAGTCCAGACAAATGTTAAAATAAAGTGCATATTTGTCAAGTCTGTCCATAAAGCACAGTGGACTTACAAAGTGTCTGTACCAATATTATATGTATAATTTGCTCAATTGCAGAAAGCCAAGTCTATGCAACCTACAGATTTCGATGATGATGTTGCAAATAGTGCAGAGAGAGGGGAAAAGAGGAGGAAGAGGATTGCTTTGGCAAACAAATGGAAAAATGCTGGTTTGGCAGACTTCAATACACCTGGATCTAAACCGCTTATTTTGGCTGCAGAAACTCAGCCACAGAGTCCAGTAAGTCTTTTTTCTACCTTTTTAAAATATTTTTCTTTTAAGATTTAAAAGCGGAAGCAGTAAATTATCACATGAATGTAAAGTTTCAGATACTGATTACTTCAATTAGTTATTGAAATGTGCCCTTTGTTAATATGTGCTGGTGGTACACACCCAGGAGGCAGTATCACCTCTCTGATCTTCTAGTATGAAATGTGCACCTTGTCATTCTATGTGGAATATATTGATTTCTAGTGTTTGTCAGATGACCCCTCCCCTAATGTTACCATACCTGACACCCCACCAAGCATGAGGGCAAGGCAGGAATCTCTGCAGGAGACCACAGAAAAGAAGCACAGCAGACAGAGCACTGGCTCTATTGGTTTGTACAAATATTGTTATTTTATTTGTCCAAACTGGTACATGAATTTTCACCTAATGCTATTGATATTGTACTTTGTTTAAAGTCATAATAACTCTTCGTTTTGGCCAAAAATTGGATTTTCCTGGAAAAAACGGCAATTTTCCCGTACTTACCAATGGCCAACGACCCCATTCCTGCATTCAAAGTTAATCCAGGGTTTTTTTCCTAAACGTACGGTTTTTTGTTAAAATCTCTTAAGAGATTTTAACTGACGGAGCTCTCTCTGACATTGCAAAGTCACTGGTGACCTACTAAAAACCGCGGGAAAAGCAGACAACAACAACACCATATAAGATTCATGAGATATATTCGTCTTTTTGTTAAAAATGCATTTATATCCACAATGTGTGCCATTCTGGGCTTTTCGTTATCCGACGCACTGTACAAAAACTCGCAACTTACGTCTGAGGGCTTCCCGCCATGTTATTTTGGTCTCGAATGAACGCGAGAATCCGCGTGACACCATTACGTCATTAGCAACGAATGCACTTGTCGACTGGAAAAAAGGCATCGAAAGCCCTATTGACAAGCACAGATTTTAGTTTTCCTACAATAGAGGCCGTTTTAGTAGTAAAATACAATAGAATATATTTCCATGCGTTGTTTACAATGTATTTCATGCGGATTTTTGAATCTCAAAGGAAGAGTTATTATTGCTTTAAGGAAAATAGTTAACATTTTAAAATATTTTTGCTATTAATCAGCAATGTGCTGAAAAAAGCTGCCTTTTGAAATCCTCATGGTTAAATAAGATATATTATTAACTATGTTTTAGAAATAAATATAATGGCAGAAAGTTTGGAAGACCATCTCGAGACAGCAAGGTGATTGATTTAAGTCTGACAGCTGTTTACAGTGGTAAATATGTCTTGTTGACATGTTCTCATTGATGTCAAAAATTTCAGTTGATGTACCTTCAGAGGAGGACTCACCAGTGTGTAGTGGTGTGAGAACAACACCTCTGCAAAGAAGATTATTTGGTAAGACAGGATGAGAGACTAGGTTGCCTTCCTAATAAAGACACCTGCACACACTTTTCTGAATTTATTTTTTGAAAGTTGTCAATCAGTTTTATTTATTTTTCGATTTTGTGTCTGTATGATTGCTAGACAATGAAACTTCCAATGTTCGATAATTGTATGAGTTTGTTAAGATTCTTACATGATTATGTTACTTTCTTAATGATGCCTATAATTGGAAAAATTCTATATTTATATATTTTAGATAATATTCAAAGACAGCAATCCCCAGAGGCAGCTACCAATGCTGTCAAGAATTTGAATGATCTTTTCAAGCCAGGAATAGCAGCTAGGAAGAGAAAGTTGATGACGTTGAAAGAATTATCACCTGCATCAGTATTAGTAGCACCCACAAAAGCATCTGGCCAACTGCCCAGCATAATAGGTGGGAATGAGAGAAAGAAAGGACAAAAGAGAAAAAGTGCATCGGTGGAAGAAATTGGTTCATCTTTGGAAAATCCCAAAGGTAAAAGACGAAAGGAAGTTAAAGACAGTGATACCTTACACACAGACACATCAGATGAAAGCCCTGTGGAAACTGAAAATGAACCCAGTGGCAGTGGAATGCCCAGCAAGAGCAAAGTCACTGTGCTCAGTGATGTTGCTTGGTGTGAGGCAGATACAAAGGGGAAATCTAAGACAGCAAGGCGGAAGTCATGTGGGAGCATCCTGAGCAGTTCTGCAACTTCCCAGGTCACAGAATCTGAGGTAGACAGCAAACAGAAAGCAAAGAGCTCCAGGAGAAAATCGTGCTTAGACAACAAGGCTGGTTCTGTGGCTTTCCTTGAAGCTGGTCCTCAGTCTGATTGTGATGGAAAAACTAAAACTAAGGTTTCTAGGAGAAAATCTTGCTTGACCACCTTGACTACCACTTCTACAGAACACTGTGACACAGATACACAATCTGGAGCCCTTGCCTCAAAACCCAAGACTTCGAGGAGGAAGTCGTGTGGTGGATCCTTATCCACTTTGCCTGCTCTTGAGGACCATGATACAACATCTAATGAAACTAGTCGTTCAAAACCTAAAAAGTCTTCTGTTGGCACTGTGTCTGGGCCAGCAGCTCATCTGGACTCAAAACAGAAACGAACCCCTGGGATGTCCTGCATAGAAGAGTTATCTGACACTGACAGCAATGTCCCCATTAAAAATGTCTGTGTGGGGAATAGAGAGGAAAACACAAGTCATGCCCAACAAGACACTGGATACAGCACAAATACAGATTCATTGTTAAGATCAAGTCAAAACAGTAGTATCTCTTCAGACTCATTTTCCAAACTTGCTAAAAGCCGTAGAAGCATTGATGAATTTGCTGAACATGGAAAGCTTTCCCAGTCTTTGAAAAAGGCTGTCAGATCTGCAAATGTGAACAGTTCAGATAGTGATGATACAATTGCAAGTATCGCAAGTAAGTCCGAGCCTAAGAAAAAGATTACAAGGAAAAAGAAAGAATTTTCAATTAAGAATCCATCTCCAGTGCCAAGGAGATCCATGGTCACTACAAGTTTACATAACAGGTAAGTTTTTTACAGATACAAATTAGAGTGAATGTAAAGTGAGAAATTGAATTAATAGTATATGACAAATTCAAGTGAATTTAAAGTGAGAAGTAGAATTATTATTGGATGACTTTCCTTTGATGGTAGAATGAATATTGGTTCTGTTAGTTATAAATATCAAATAAATAGCCGTTTGTACTTCAATTTCAGTGAACAAGAGATTGTACATGCAGTAGTGAAGAAACTGGGCGGTTTTCATATGCTTGATACTGTTGACGACAGTACCAGTCACATTGTCTGTGGTGAAAGCCGGCGGACACTGAATATTCTACGTGGGATTGCAAGAGGATGCTGGGTGCTTTCTCTAGAATGGGTGAGACACTGTCTTTTTGCAACAATTTTCAACAGGAAAATATTCTTTCATTAGTTTCTCAGATACAAGCTCTGTCAGAATTGAGTTGTGCATGTAAATGATCCCTTTCAAATACTATTTTAACAATATGAAAAATAAAAATGCAAGAAGAAAAAATGGTAAACGGTATTTATTCTGTTATTTAAAGAAGAGAGATTTGAATTTATCTTGAAGTGTTTATCCTCAGGTGCTCAAGTCTCTTGAAGCAGGTCAGTGGTTGGATGAAGAACCATTTGAGGCACATGATTTCTTTCCAGCAGCACAGGTAAGAAAATGTATGATAACTTATGTGTAAGAGATTGTAGCTCTGGTTACATACAAAAGCTGCTGTGGGATATGGCATGTGAAATATGAAAGATGGACTTTAAAGTGGTATATAGGGTCATATTTTAAGTGTCCACACACTGCCAGAGACTGTCATCTCCGGTATTGGACTTAACAACCATACTCCGTGCTGTGATATCGGGATACAGGGTCCAACTCAAAGCACAAAGCGTGATTCCATAGTTTTTGTCTGATGGTGCCAATGATGATAATTGTTTTCACAACCACTTCTCAACATTTTTTTTCAGTTTAGCAGACTTGAACGATATGCAGCGGGACCGTCTTATCAGCAAGATATTTTTTCTGCTGTTGGGGAGATTTATGTATCAGAAAACACTTCTCCATCTCAGCAGCATTTGATTTCATTAATTCAGTTGTGTGGTGGAAAGGTAAGTTAAACACTTTAATACAGCCAAGACCCCTCACACCTTATTATATTAAATCCACCAAGTAGTTAACTGTGCTTAAGGATCACAAGTGCATTAGGAAAATTGAATTACTTCCAGAAATCCATTTTTGTTAACTATTTGTTAACTTTTAAGCTTTTAGCACTGAAACACATACCTTTTAAGTAACTTTTGTTTTCACATCTAGAAGGTGTTGTTAGAGCTGTGTTTGGAAGTAGTAGAATTATTTCATGGTGGATTTCATCGTCAGCTAATTTTTCTCCAGACAACCACATGTTCTAGAAAAGCAGCAGTGTGTGTAGGACCAGCAAGAAGAACTGAAGCCACTTTGGTGACAGAACAGTGGGTCTTGGGTAAGGCCAAGCCAGAGAGAGTTTTTATTTTTTTAGCATCCAACCTTTTTTTTTCATATGTATGGGACCATTCAGATGGCGAAGAGGCAAGTGCTAGCTAGGCTGTGACCTAAATATGGCGGACTTATATGAAAGGAAGACTGCTTATTCCTGTAATGGTCTCTCTGCCTCTCACACGCCTCCCCACGCGTTGTCCCTGCAGGGGCACATTAATCAAATCTCAGCTAAATTCAACCGATTGAGATTCAATGCATGGGGAGGCATGTGAGAGGCGGATAGACCATGACAGGATTAAGTGGCCTTCCTTTCATGTAAGTCCGCCATATTTAGGTTGTGGCCTAGCTAGCACTAGGCTCTTCTCATCTGAATGGGACCTGTGGTTTAAAGGTGTCATTAAAATTTTAATCTAACTCTAAATATCTTATAAAATCATGTGTAATATGTCCTATAAAAAGCCACGAGTTAATTGCTATTAATCCATAGTCATTTATTTCAGATTCCATAACTGCACACCTGCTGATGCCATTGAGTGATTATACTGCTAAGAAACAAAGCAGATCAACTAGTCCAGCCTTTTAAATATCAGCATTTCATGAAGCTGATTTGTTGACTGATTTCATGAAGCTGATTTGGATACTGAATACTGCCCATGCAGTATAAACTAAGAGCTAGTGAAATTTTAGACACCACCAATCTTATTACCGTACCTTTTCAAATGATATTCAGACTCTTCAAATGATTTTCTTATGCCAGAATGGATTGAACAATAAAACTGTAGATAAAGAAGAGCACATATCCCATCTATACCTATACTAAACATTTATCCCACAAACAAAAGGATAATGGCACTTTTATTTTGCTTACACACCCACCTGTATTTTAATTGCTTGAAGCGCCAGCCTAAAGGGATATGTCCACTACAACTACTCGGCATCCCCATTATGCAACATACAAGAGCAAATTATATTTTCTCCACACTACTCTTTTATGTTGCATACAGTGGACAACTTGTGTTGTAACTAGTACACATGGATCTACTATTTCTTTAATTAAATTTAATGAATGTGATAAGCAATCAAACATGAAGAAAATGAAAGATGGGATTAGTTTGGACATGATTGAGTAATGTGAACCGTCAGTATTATTCTGTTACAGTGGAAGCTTACATAAAGGGAAGCAATTAAATTTTTTTTTATATAAAATGTTTTTATATAGTTACAACTTACAAAAAATTGTTTACTGTCATTTTTGTTTAATCATAAATGGCAGTGCTTTAAACGTTTAATTTCTAAGAAATTATAAATCTGTTGCTTTAGATGATTTAATAATGTAATCATAAGAATTTTTATAATATATTTTAGTTTTATGTATTAAATTTACTGAACATTTGTGGCTGTTACGATAAGTAATCCATTGTTATCAGCATAAATTTAAAGTAGTCTCCAATTAAACAGCTAGATGTTCCAAATTGTATCAATTTACAGACTAGTTTTTTATTTAAAATCCCAATTTCTTTTTTTTAATGTATAGCACAACAATCGTAATAAAAGAAAATGAAATTAGTACAACATTGATACTTTATTTGTTCTTAATAAACTTGCATTAAAACTATTTCCAGCAGTCTTCATCAAGATATGGAATGTCAACAGGAATATAACCGGTATTAATATATGCATACAAAGTTTCTATATTCCACAACCTATACATTGAGCTAAAAGGTAAAAAATGTATATTAAATGGGAAAGAAATGTGAGCATTTGATATGCTTCTAGAACAAACTAATTTATACTAGTTTCAGCATGAAAATGTGTATGAAAACTGATTGAAAATGAAAAAAACTTCGGTACCAAGTAACCTTTTGGTGTAAAGACAGAAATAACGTATAACTGTACTTATCCTTTGTTCTTGTGTTCTTGACCAAAAAAGAATAATATAATGTAAATATATACAAAATATTCTGGTGAGATTCTACAAGTTGAGAGATATGATATCTAACAAGATAAAACCTGAAAAGTCTAAAACAGTCCAATATACCTAAAACAATCCAATAAAGCAACCGAAAGCTTGATCAAACTATTTCATGGACTTGTGGCAGAAGATTCTCCACATTACTGCTTTCTGTACAGGACTGTTGTTCATGAGAGCAGATCAAGTCTAGTGAACTTGCAGTGCGTAATAATAGTTGTACCCAACACAGATGAGAGACATTGCAAGAGTGATAGATGCACATATGCCAAGAGTTTGAATATTTAAAAGGCATTTTCTGTATGACTGATGCCTATGTAGAGTGAGCATTTTTCTCTAAGCCTTGTGGCCTATACATATCATTCTAATCTCTTTCATTGTACAAAAGATTTGAAAAAAAAGTGTAAAGCTTGCAGTACTCGTACAAAAATAATGTAAAAAAAGTCTGTAAACTGAAGAGATATTAGTGCTGGTTCAATATTGCTGTAACAGTTGTTTGCTATGAGTAACTTTTCTCTAAATATAAATGGCAAAGAGTTGCTTTTTTCTTATAATTTCTTATTAATGCTTTCCAGTCTGAAGCATAGTAGTAAAGTCTGTGTTAGTTGTACTCAGCAGCACATTTTATCTGTTTTTAGACACAACCTCTCTGAGCCATATAATGCAGTACCAGAAGATCTTTACTGCACATCTACCATACATGATTTTCTATACCATCTTCCAGCAGGTATTTCCGGTTAAAAGAAGATTTTTAATACTGTTTTCTACTTCATACAGGTTATTCCCAAGTATATCATACCCAGCACACTGACTAATATATCGACACAAATCTTAATTATCACAAGCAAAGACATGTTAAATTTAAGAAATGATATACAGCAAAGGTAACAAAAATATTAAACATGATAAAATATTATGCAGCATACATTACATATAATGGCATGCTTTATTTTACTATACTGCTCTTACAAGGCAGACAAAATATTATGTAGCCATTTGACTAAATTATCAATCACAATGCGCTCATATCAACCCAAAAGCCCCACTGATACATATCTGTTACATAAAAATCTCTTCAATTACAAGACACAAAGATCACATACAAAGCTCTGAAAACCAAATAAACCCTGAAAACCAAATACACTGGCCATGGAGTCTTAAGGTTGTGCAGTTTTGAACAGTTACTTAAAATGACTTGAGACTGAGATGAATTCTGCACCCTAAAGGGAAACAAATATAGCAAAACAATTATCCTGGAAGTTGTCTAACATTAAAAGTGTTGGTTAAGGATGCACTGCTCCGTAACCGTCAGTTGGCATCTCTTCTTTAGCAGGAGATTCCTCTGAGGGGCTTTGATCTTTCAAGATTGGGTTTCTCTCTTGTGACCTAGGCTGAACTGTTGATCTTGAGTAGGTGGATAACAACCAGTCTGAAAACAATTAAATTATACTGGATACCATTTCAACAGTTTTTTTTACATAAAAAGGTTTTTCATGAAGTAAGATTTTACTCTTGTTATGATAGACTTAAATTTTGTAAAAAAAAAAAAAAAAAAAAAAATATCCCCCAGTGTAAGGCCTGCTAGGGCTTATGATAACCAACTCATATTTCCAGTACTTTCTTAAAAAAAAATTAACTGTTATAATGGTCTAATGACTGTTGAGATCCTCATTGATATTTACCATTTAAATATGAAATAAAAAAAACAAGTTATAACTGCTATTATATTCACCTGGTAGTATGGCAGCCAGTTTTGGTTTTGGCTCATTGCTAGGAGATGGAGGTGGTCCTTTTCCTGACGTGATGAAAAATACGCCAATAAAACATAGAGTGCACCTAAAAAAACACAAATAAAGTGTGACACATGATATTCATCAATCATTTTTGGGTTGCTAATAAGCATGCTTTCCCATCTCATTTTTTATTGTTCTGGTAGAAATTTTACCGTTTTTTTTTTTCAGAGAGCTTTTGATGGAGAATAGTAGGTTGAACTTCAGAAAATACACTTTTCACTTATACTAGTACAAAACTATTATTGTTTTTTGTAAAACATTTCTGTCGCTAACTTACCCAAACATGAACATAAAGATGTCCAAACCATTCATACCCCAAAACTCTCTGTAGAAAACGATACCTGAAAAAAAGTAAAAATCCATCACAATAAAACTCAACAAACTAATGCTGTTTTTATTTTCACTGAAGTTCTTTATAATTTCAAAATCTTTTAGTTGAAATAAAAAAAGATTCAAAAAAGTAACCTATGCCTGACAATCAACCATGCACTACTTATAACAAGAAAGTAGAGATCTACTTTCTTGATAAAAATAACAATGTAACAGGACTTCAATTTTTAACGACACAAAAAACAAATTATATAATAACCAAAGCAAATCATTTTTGGAACAGATAGCAGTAAAATGACCACATGTATAGTGCTGAGAAAGCAGTGACATAATGGCATGATTAGTAATCTTGGAGCTGTCCTCCGACCAGAAACAGAACAAGATAATATCACGTCAATCAATATCTGGAACATCTCAAGTCTTTCCAAGATGCCAAGAGATATCTTTGATAATGAACTGAAATGATGAAAGCATATCCACAAAATCTATACAGAAGGAAACTAATTGAAAACTGCATGTGAATGTATTCCCCGTTGGTTTAAGAAGCCAATAAAGAAAGACAGAATTCCAGCAGAAAGAGTTTTTTCTCTTGGTCTTTACAGGAAAACTTATTACAGTCTTCTTGAAAGTGATTTGTTTTCTGAATTGTCATAGTGCTAGAACATACTGGGTGACCAGGACCAAGGTTAACATCTATCAGAATGCTGTACATTAATCTCTTTAGCTATAGGCTACAGCTGACAAATATAAGAAATATATTTTTCAAGATCAAAAAAGAAAAGAAACAGAATTCACCTGATAATATAGCACTTATGGTGAAAAAGGCAAAGTAGGTTGGTACCACAACTGTAGCTTCAAACAACTTCATGGCACTGTTCAAATATCTAGAAAAGAAGAAATACAATATGGCAACTCAGTAGAGCAACATCCAGCCATATACATACATGCTTATATACATACATTTATTCTCACCACTTTATTCTTGCAAAAGATTTCTGAAGTAAAACCTTCAAATGTATACACATCAATCCCAATATTAATCCTAATTATAGGCATGTCTGATCATCATTTAAACACACAGACAGACACATACACACAGGGGTTAAGTCCAAAGATTTGAGTAATTTCAGTAAAAAAAATAAAAGGATAAAAATGAAGCACTTACTTGACCTGCAATATAGCTGTGACCACTAATATTACCACCATCACATAGAGAACAGGTTGATCAAACTGGGAGTAGCCCATGAATGTTATATGAATTAAACCAGACACTCCCTTAGCTGAGATGACAGTAAAGGAGGCTGAAAACAATACAATACAAACAGATTATTATACCAAGGTGCACAATATTTCCTAATCAAAACAAATTAGCTAGATATTGTGCAAAAAAATCTTTTTTGCTAAATACATTTAATACAAATACCACAAAATCATTCCTTTTTTTGTTACTATCAGTCTGTCTACTCTCCAGCAACTGGGTGATGACGCCTTTTTTTTTTTTTTTTTTATAAAAAAATTCACTCTGGACACACGCTTTTTACCAGAGACCAGATGGATATGAACATCATTTTACTTTTGCGAAAATTTTCACAGTACAGAAAAAAGCAGAGAAATAGCCCAAGAAATGAATGTGAATAGCTAGCCATAAATCTAATTTCTCCAGGTATGAGACACCCTGTGTCCAGTAAGTGGAGAGGATGCTTACCCAGCATGGCACAGATTAACAGGAACACCAACACACTGTCAATCTGGAACTTGTACAGTAACACCAACAACACAATCAATGCAAGGAACTCTATGATCTAAAACAAACAATAGGAACAAACGTAAGATATCAGGAATAATGTGTCCCTTAGCTACATGCTTACTTAATATTGAAATTTCATCTACCAACACTAAATTCAATAAATTTAAAAACTTAAAACTTAATTTAATAAAGAGAGTTTTTAATTTGTTAGCAATGAAAATTCCTTTTTTTCAAGAAATTAAAAAAAAAAAACATTTATTATCAAATCAGAAACTTCTGACAATGATGTTAAATAATGAAATCTGCTATTACTTATGCCTATCATCATCATCATCATCATCATCATCATCACATGAACATTAAGATAAACTATTTGGAACTGACATTCCAAACAAAATACTTACAATATACACCAAAAATGCAATCTGCTTTAATGCTTCGTTTATTTCTGGTCCAGTGAGCACCTTCTCATGCTGCACAAAACAACACATAAAAATGCTTTTTAGTTTTCAAGAAAATATATAAATCATCAGCTACAACACAGAAATGTGACATGAATCGTGTCCTGCAGGTATTTATGTTGAAGTAATTCAAGCCAGTATATTTTCACTGAAAAAGGCTACAAAAATCTATATTACAAATACTGCCTTCATTTATTTTCACTGAATATAAAGTCATTG